TCGACTTTCAATTGGAAATCAGTTTCTTGAAAGCATGTTTCGACTTTGAGTTCGACGTTCGTATATTAAAAGTATTTTATTATGAAATACAAGTGCGTTGCCGTGAAGCAGAAAAACACCTGTTCAACTTTGTGTTTCAGTTGAGCGGAAAAAAAAACTCTGCGACTGGCATTTATCCGTTGGTTGATTATAACCACATGTATTACTTAATATTTGCATTTGCAGGCAAACAAGACGCCGTAAAGATAAATGCAAAGTCGATTTCAAATACGACGCGTGTATAAAAATTTCCACTGTCTGTGACCAAAAAAATAAACATCTGCAGTTTTTGGCGCCGAATATGCTGTCCATTTACACGGGTTCTATGTACAGGGAAAGCTGCTTAGAGCTCCATTAAAATTTCCCCTTTACCCCTCACCAAATTTCCTCCTTTGAACAAAGTGCGCTCTCTTAGCCAAAACGGTTCAAAAGATTCATTTCTGGTAGGTGTCCGTTCAAGGGAGCTTTCACTGTACACATATCCATAGATATATGGAAAGAAAGCCAAACACATTTCAATTTACATTTCGTATGTAAACAAATTTCTCAATTGGATAAACTCAATAGTGTGAAAATAACTGCAATCTTTTGGTAAACAAATCTAGGAGCAGGCAGACTTAAAATCGGAATCGGAGCCGGAGTCGGACTCGGAGCCGAAACCGTTGCAGCAGCAGCAATTGGAGCGAATCCGGTCACAACAAAGATGCATTATCAAGGTTTCCATTCATGAAATGCAATGCGTTTGACCTCTAACTCAGCTTGCACCGCGGCTTTGCAGCTGCTGGCTTTGGAATTCCCAACTGGTTTAAGATAAAGCTTCAAGATTTACATTTTCTTGAAATTTATAGTAATTATAAACGAAACTCTTTTTTTTTTAATGAATCGAAAAAGTGCAATCATAGTTCATTTCCACCCAGAGCTTTGGATTTTCCCCAAAATACGATTCGCTTAAAATATCTTTTGCCTCGTTTTTCAATGCGATTTATACTACGATCCAAATTGTATCCTTGCTCCCGTTCCACATCGTTCCGCATTTGAATATTATAAATTTGTACAATTTTCAAATAAATATCAACAAAGGCAAGATCTTATAGCACATATATAGTAGGAACAAAGGCGGATGGGTTACTCACATTATTATTGGATGGCCTTGTGCGTTGCTTGGCACGATCTCGCAATTTGTTGTCCTCTCTCTCTCCCTCTCTCTCTCTTTCTCTTACACACACTCTTTAACTCTCTCGCAGAGCGCACTGCGACGCCTCCCACGTTGCTCTGGTTTACAGTTATGTAGATAAACCGTTTGCTTATTGAATTTCTTCTTATTGTATGATTTACATTCGTATTACATTCGCACAGTGTTGTAAATTCTTCTAAATGCCTTTGGTTTTCGTTTTGATTAGCTTAGCACTTGTTCACTTTGTTGTGGTTTTTGTTATTATCGCGCCGCAATTGGTTTTGTTATTGTCGTATATATTCGATTGGGTATTTATTTGTTTTGTTTTATAGAATTTGCTTTTGAATGAAATATATTATGGTTAATGATATGCATTTTACTTAGCACTCTTATATACAAATATATATATGCATATATATATATATATATATATATATATATATATATATATAAATGCACAGACTTTCACAAACACAACGAGCGTGTAGATAAAGCAGAGCGACCAGAGCGAGACAGCGCTAATGATGCTTTTAGCGGTAAATTGACTAGAAGAGTGAGAGCATGCATTGCAAATGAGAGAAAGAGAGAGCTGCGACCAAGGATGGGCAAAAGACGTTCTAGAAATGTGCGAAACTCAAAATCTCTTTAAATAAATAAGATTAGTTTGATTTAAACGTACAATTATTTATATGGCGGCATTTTGGTTCATAAGCTATAAATAGAAGTCTGGCGATTACAACTTGGGCACAGCCTTTTAAATAGGGTCGAGAAATGAGCCTCAAAGCCAGGCCTGTAGATATTAAAATATGCATGCTCGAATGTGCATGTAACTACCCTCAGAATGTCCACAGGGACATTGGCAAGAATGGAAAACTCATTTATCTGCCTGGCAGTTGCAATAACAACTTTTTACAGCCCAGATAAAGATGCCTTGCAACGGTTCGGTTTTCAAATTCAAGTTCGGTTATCATAAGTTATATTATATTTACATTTTCAGCTCGATGGTTTCTCCTATCTTTTTTTCCAGAGCGCCTAAAAAATTCACTCAATTCGTATTTTTTTTTTTTTTTTTTGTTATGCCAAGCGTTTTTCCGCATGTTTTGTGATTCCATATACACACACGCACATACACATTTATATGAAGATCGTAACGAAAGAAAGAAAATGAGAGAGGGAGAGAAAGAATGCTACTGCAACAGCAGGGGAGAGCAACAAAAAATACTAAATGAATTAATTATCAGAAATTAGTAGATGTGCAAATATTCTTATTAACACATTTTGTTGTTGTTTTTTTTTATATTTTACAAATATATCACAAAACAATGCACACACATATGCACGCATGCGAGTTGCTGAGCATTTGAAAATTATTGCATAAATATTTTAGATGTTTTTGTTTTTGTTTTCATTTTTTTTTTTTTTTTTACTTTGCTGTCGTTGCTCCAGAAACAAGAAACACACCGAACGATGGCGCACTCTTTTGCCCCAATCAAAATATACAATCAATATACATACATCCGTACATATGTGTTTGTATATATCTCGTTTGTGTATATATGCGTGCACATAGGCTGCAATCCGTGAAGACCAACTTGAAACGCAGGCGAATAGAATAATACTGAAAAGCGTGGAGCAAAACGAACGCTAAGGTGGCCCCAACCTCACGCTCAGAGAGCGAGAGAGCCAGAGAGCGAGCGCGCAATCACAGACAGGCAGGCAGATCAAGCAGAGTTGTTGCTATTGTATGCGTGAGCAACTTTTTGCCTGCCGCTCACTGGTACAAATGCAAACACTCACACACACACATACATAGATACAGACTTACATGCAGACAACAGGCATCTGCAGCGAAATTCTATTTTTAAACTTAAATTAATATTGTTCTTTATTTTATCAGCAGCAGCGCGAAAATAAAGCGTCAACGGCGGCTGCTGCGACAGCCGCTCTCCCTCTCCCACTCTCTCTCTCTCACGCCATTTACTTATGTAGGTGTAAATATGTGTGTGTGCGTGTGTGTGGGTGTGCAGTTGAAAACCAGAAAACAAATAAATAATACAACGAAACTAAACGCGCTCTTGTTGTTGCTGTGGCTTAGTTAATGCTAATCAGCGAAGTCAACGGCAACGCGTGAGATATCACTGCCTACTAAGTGGTTATGTGTGTGTGTGTGTGTGTGTGTGTCTTTGAGCGAAGCAGGCAAAAAGCGAAGCTCAAATGCTCGCTCTGCTCTTTGGTTGTATTGTGGTTGATATTGTTGTTGTTGCCGATGTGTATGTCGCCTGCTCCGCTATCAACGCTTGATAAGAAATGCGTTAATCTTTATTATGCGCGACGTAAGCAGCGCAGTTAAGCTGCATACAAACACATGCATATGCACTGCATAGGTATGTATTTGTAAGCGAATATGTGTGCCTGAGTACGTTTGAAGCTATAAATTTGTTGACATTTCCGCTAAAAATTTGCATTAGGTTAAAGAAAATCAGAAGCAAATGTGATTTATTCGCATAAAACAAAACATAAGCAACAATAGCGAAAGGTGCGAAATGGCAATTGAGAGAGCGGCAACATCAAGTTGTTGATGATTCAACAGTTAAACACCGCTGACTGTGGGGCAAAACAAAAACTGTGTATACATAACAAATATAGAATTGGAAATGCAGCGCCAGCAAATTCCTGGGCAGAGGACAGCTCAGCTGTTTTATTTGCCCCACGGCAAATTCAATACAAAAATCAAAATGCCGCAAGAATTACTCACACACGTTAAGATAAAGCGGGAGAGAGTGACATGCTGAGAGGGAGAGTGAGAGCGAGAGAGAGAGAGAGAGAGCAGAAGCAACGCTTCTTATGCTCACCGATAGTGAGAGTGATCTGTTGCTTTATCAGCGGTAGGCGGCTATTTTTAGACAAGCGTAAGACCGACCACAAAGCAGCAGACCACCAAAAATACAAAATACAAATACAAAATTTGCAAAAACATATCGTACTTGGTGTTTGTTTTGACAAACAAATAAATTAACTTAAATGTGCAACAGTTTTCAATAAGGCAACACTGGTAGATAGAGAGAGGGCGAGAGAGCGAAAAAGTGATGCACATTAATGTTGTTGTTCTGAATGATTATCCCGCAGGTTATGTATGTGTGTGTGTGCGTGCTTTCCATACAAGTGTGTGTAAGTGTGCATGTGGGCGTGATAATGCACAAATAAAATGCAACAAGAAACAAGCAAATGCCCATTCGCAGCAGCCAACGAGATAAAACTGAGCTTAGCATCGAAATGTAAATACTACCACAACAATATAAGACGTAAACAGTTGAACGGCATGGCGAGCAACTGCAAAAACTACAACAATAATCGTACCGAATGCTGCATATGCCTAATATTTGCAGAACATGATGATTCCAATTTACGGTAAACTCTTCTCTTCTGTTTATCACTCTTGCATTTTCTATACGCGATCGCACATCAACACCGAACACCGAATTCGAATTGCAGTGCGTTCTGTTATTTGCAATTTAACATACTACTAATAATCCAATATGATTTGCGTTAGCAGAGATTTGAATAAGAAACGCGATTTATTGTTTCATTGAATCGAGATTTTAAAACGCAGCACTTTTTGAGATAAACTGATGCGATAAAATAGTCCGCGCACATAAGTCACGCGACGACGACCGAAAGAAACAAACTGCCGGTTAAATTTGATGCAATGTACAAGCCGTGAGCGCCGCTATCGATTGCGAAATACTTTTCGATGCCACTCAATTTGTAATCGATAGTTTTGCCCGCATTTCAGTGTGTTAGCAATTTTTATACTAAGAAATCTACCAAAAATAACAGTTTTTTGAAATCAAATGAATGTATTAAATATATATATATATACATATATACAGATTTGTGCGCCTTTCACATCAAGATGTTGCTTATACCCGTTAACATGGGCCGCTCATTCGGAGCTTTAATGAATGTGCCCCACACTTGCAAAAATTCACTTCGTCTGCGTAATTTCATTGGGCGGCTTGAAACGGCAATATTTATATTTTGCTTTGTCAGGTGCACCGGTCCATTAAAATTAATGTGATAGTGGCTGTGGGTCACATACACATTCTGCGACGCTGAAGACGAAGAATCGCGACACTGCACCACGGAAAGTCCACTAGATTTCATGGTGGCGGGCTGCTTCCACATTACGATGCCCGAAGAATCGTCCGTATTATGAAAACTACCCGTGTCGGAGCCGCTGAAACTGCTGTTGGATGGATTGCGGCGTAGCTCATGGCAACTACTTATGCTGTTGCTGTTGACAGCGCGCAGTTCCTGAAGCAGCTCACGACAACGCGCCTGCAAATCATTCAACTGCTCTCTCAGCTCGATATTTTCCTTTAGAATTTTAGGCGAAGTTTCTGGCTCGAATATATTCTTTACATTCCCCACTATCTTAGATTTCTCCATGGTCTCCATGTCCTTTACTTTCTCCACGGACTCCACTGTCTCCACGGCCCCCAATGCCAGCACGGTCTCCACTGTCTCCACGCTCTTCAACGCCATCACGGGCTCCACGGGCTCCTCGGTCTCCAAGGTCTCCACTGTGTCCACGCTCTCCACGATTTCCATGGCATCGGCTACCTCCAAGGTGTTCACTGTTTCCACTCTCTCGACTGTCTCCACTTTGTTCTCTTCGATGGGTTCGATGGGGTCGATCGGCACGTTTGCGATAAATGGAAGTGCAAGTATTTCTTCATCCATTTGCATACAAGTTTTTGCCTGCAACTCCAACCATTGCAACAGTTTGGAGAGCGCCACAGTGGTAATAAGGACAAGTCCATAGGTTTTGAGCATATCAAATAAACGATCTATAATGTTATTTTCTTCCGGTTGGCTAGGACAATAATTTGGCACATCTGTGAGGGTTGGACGCTCTAAACATACGATTAAATTGAGTTCTATTTAAAAAAAAAAAGGTCCCTAACCCAATAATTACCTGTATACAGTTCCACGATGTAATCTGATTTAGTTGGCAGCTCCTCGATGGCGTGTAAATAGCATAACAACGACCACGAAATAAACGCCAAGGCGCACAAAAACGTAAAACTTATGTTTTGAAACATATTTCCCCCTAAAATTTGAAGAAGGTTTTTTATAACATGTGTCTGCTTTTAAAACTATAAACAAGTGTTGTGAAAATTTTCAGTACAGACAAAACAAGTGACAGAAATTAAAATGGAATGCTATAGCAAAACAAGATTTTTGAATTTAAAAATAAAACGTTCGATTAAACGCAAAAGCTATCGATTCCAGTCATAACCAACAACATATCGATACATCGATAAGTGCACTTGTCGACGCGCATTGTGAGTGTCGCAGTTGAAACGTGCAGGTTTTCTCTTTGTATAAACACACTTTGAAATGGAGTTAATGGTATGTTGACGAAAGCGAAGAATAATTTTTGAAGCAAACTAATTTAATCAATGCATATAGCATGGCGCTTCGCTACTCTCAAGACCGGCCGAGGAGTTCGGCAACGATTCTCTCGTGGAAGAAATGTGGGCTGCCAAGGCGCTCGAGCATGCCGAGGTGCATTTCAATGTAAGTATAATAATTAATAATAAATTATAAATATATAAAACTATTCATTTTCGCTTAGCTGCTGACCAGCGTGCCGCCCGCACAGCTGCGCCTGACGCCCTACGACGACCAGATCTATGCCACCTTCCGACAAGACTTTCCCGATCTGCAAGTGGCTCGCCTCAGCGACGACATACTCAAATCGGCCACAGAGAAGCTGAAGTGGCGTCAATTTGCCGAGAAATTTAATAAAATGGAAGACTATTCGTACGGCACTCTGATGCGAGCCGATGCCAGCAAGGAATTCTCACCAGACAATTCAATCTTTGTTTTTCGCGTCCAATTCTTGGCCATTGAAATTGCGCGCAATCGCGAAGGTCACAACGACGAGGTGCACAAAAGGCACAAGCCGGCAAAGAAGCCTCAGATCAACTCGGAGACGGCTCAATGATGCGATCCAGTAGCTGTTCAACTTGTCCGTCAGTTAGTTTAGGTTTAAAGTAAATAAATTTACAGCATTTGTTAGCTGTAAGGCATGCCAAGCACTGCACTAAGTAAATGCTTCTGTTTCTTTTCTTAAATCTGATTGCTGCAATCTGATTCTTATTGGAGCGTGTGCCAATTGGAATCGGACGCCGCTCACATTAGACGCTTTGTCAGCTCGTATAAATCGTAAGTTAGACTCAACTTTTTGGCAGGAAAATGAATTTCCGCCGTGTATAATGCAATAATGTTTATAATATATAATTTATGTTTAAGCTATAGCTAAGTATTGTCCGCACTAGGCGCAAGTTGCCATCCCCCTTGCTTGCTTGCTGCCACCCATCAGTCTTGCTTTGTGTATACCGTGCCTACAGCCCGTTGCTGTTGCACATCATCAGTATGAAGGGTATCATCGCATCGATCTGCATTTGCCCCACCAGATTGGCAAAGAACAGCTCCTCGGTCAGCTCCGACTCCAGCACGCTTAGCGGCAGGAGACTAGCAAACAGTCCATTGGCGCGCTCCTCGCCGCCGCTTTGGCGGCGCAGCGTGGAGAGCGCATAGAGCTGAACCCGCTTGACATAGGCGCGCAGTGAGCGCTCACGTCGGTTTTGTTGCAGCATCAGCGGATTGAAGAGCAACACCAGACGCAGCAGGCCGAACTCCAGATCTGTCACGTCTTGTGTCTGCAACTCCTGCACAAAGTCGTGGAGTGTGCGCGTTATTTGCGCCAGCTTTGCAATCTTCTGCGGCTCTATCTTATCAATGTCCGCCACTTGGCGCACACTCTGCACCAGCTGTCCAATGATCGTGGGCACGGCCAGCTGGCGTTGGCATTGGGCCAGGGCCACAGCCAGCAGTGCGGGCCAAGCGCCACGCAGCAGCTTCATCTGTGTGTGCGCGTCCAGCAGCTCGAAGGCGGGCACCTTGCGCAGCGTGTGCACGGTCAGAAATATGATCCTTGCGCCCGTTTCGCATACATAGTGCATATTGAGATATGAATGGACCAGCGCCGGTGGCTGCACGTGAAACGCACACTGCGCCTCGGACGCGAACAGATCCTGGGCAAAAATTGCTTCGTTAGCCACAAAATCGCCTCGGCTACAGTACTCAAAATCCAAGTCCATGTGCTCCACAAGATCGGCATCAACATCCTCCGTTCCGCTGTCCTCCGCATCCGAATCGCATTCGGGTTTAATGCTCAGCGCAGCAGCTGCGGCTGTATTCTGGCCGCTCTGATTCCTGTCCAGCTGCTGCTGTATGGGCTGCAGCAATTGCAGCGCCTTATCTATGGCACGCTTGTCCATCGAGCTTTGAATGAGTCCAACCGTGGCGGGTGTGGGCAGCGCTGTTGCATCAGCAGCGGCGGCAGCGGCAGCTGCTGCATTGAAATTCAAATGCTGTGAATTATTGTTGCTGGCGCTGTTGGCCAGCAGCTGTAGGCACAATGTGCTGCTGTTGTCCATCGAATCATCTTCGTCCTCGTCCAGTTCCGGCTTGGCCAGCTCCGGTGAGTAACAGTGACTGGGCGCATTGCTGCTTGCCGCCTGCTGCTGCTGTTGTTGTTGCTGCTGCGTGGCGAGCACTGTGAAAATGTTGAGATTTCTTATTGGAAGCCAATCAGCTGGAGCGCTGCACTTACTCAGCGTTTGTGTTAGCTCTGCAAAGTTGAGGCTCATGGGGAATAGGTTCTCGCTTAGCCCAAAGGGCGTTGTTGCCGTGCTGGCCGGGGGCGTGGCAGCATGCTGAAACAGCGCAGCGCTGGCCGCCGATGCGGCTGCCGCAGCTGCCGCTGAGGCATGCTGCTGCTGCTGTTGCTTCACGCGCACCTGCTGATAGCCGGACTTGCCAGCCGCTGAGCCACTGGAAGCGCCCGCAGTGCTGGAGGAGCCAGAGACGCTACCCGTTGAGCCAGAGACGATGCCATCTTTTCTATCCACAATGGGTTTGCGTTCGTGCTGCACGGCTGCAGATGGTGGCACAGAAAAGAGTAAAGAGAAAGCAATTAGCGAGTGTTGCAGTTAAATAACGGTACATGATGTGCTGCATATGGTAGAATGTATGTTTGTGCGTGTGTGTGTGTATGTGTGCTGTGTGTAAATAAGCGTGCATGTGCGAGTGTGTGTACAAGTAAGCGTGATTTATGTGTTAGTATTGGAGCATGTCGACATTTAAGTTTCGAAGGAAGAAATACATTAGCATCAGGTAATAATAATCTTTGTCTTGAATTATTTGAAATGGTTTTTGAAAATCCAATATATAAAAGTATTTATAACTACAATAATAAGAAATCGAATAAGAAAAATTGGTCTAGTATGGAAACAGGGAGAAGGACATGGCTATAACCAACCAGCTGATAATATTTAAAAATTATATTTATATACATTGAAATTCGAGGAAAATCAGATTTTCAACCTGGTGGCAACTTATCCAAATTGGTGGCAGGTGGCAGCTCTAAAGCTTATAGCAATCTAATCAGAATTCAAGTAAATAGGAGTTACCAGATGCGCCCTCAAACTGTGAGCATCGTCATTTGCTGTGCGTGTGTGTATGTGTGTGTGCATGCGTGTGCTTTGGGTGAATGAATTTGTGTGTGTGTGTGTGTGTGTGTGAGGGGTGCGTGCAGTTGTGTTTTTTTGGGGAGTTTTTGAGACGACGACTTAAACGAAAATTACAATCACTTCGCATGCCGCTGGCCAAACACTTTTGCAGCCGACAGAATTGACACCTGTTGCGATGGTGTTTGGTCACCTCACAGTTCATGGCCCCGCGGCACTGATAGCCCAGCTGCTTGCGTATGGATCGCTTGAAGAAGCCCTTGCAGCCCTCGCAGCTGATGGCCCCATAGTGTCGCCCGGATGCTCGATCGCCGCACACAAGGCACAGCTCCACGGATGAGAGGGAAGCGGCGGCTGCAGCGGAGCTGGCGGCGTTTCCGGCTGCAACGGCTGCTGCATTGCTGTTGCTGCTGCTGCCGCTCGGGTGATTCAAGCCCATTGCACGGGGCTCTGTAAGCAGAAAACAGAAAAAAAAAAAAATAAGAACAAGAACAACACATGATTACACGCACTAGCAAAGCTGGGCGTACAAGTTTTCAGCTTGGCTCACCTTCAGTTTTAATGCCGCTGCTTGTGCCCATCATAAAGCCCAAGTGAAGACTGCAAGCTGTTGCTTCTTTGTGTTAAAGTTTGCCTTTTTAGAACTTGTTTTTTGTGGCGACTGTGTGCGTATGTGTGTGTGTGTGTGCGGATGTGTGTGCGTACGTGCGCTGCTTACTTCAAGTTTAATTACACGACTGGTAAATGTTTTAAAAACATTGTTTTTGAGCTCAAACCAGCAATTATTATATTCACTTTACACTTTCACCATTAATGTGTCTTTTGTTAAATATTTAAAGCCATTTAAAATGAGCTTTTGAGCAGCAGCGAAAATCTTTAACCTTTCGATAAAAAAAAATCAACTAAGTGGCAGCGCTGTCATATAGTGTGACCAGCTCATTTGTAGTGGAAAATACCTTCTGCTGCAAGTTGCGCTTATACATCGATAAGAATATAAAAATTATCGATACTGCGACCCACGACAAGTTCAGCAAGAGTGCGCGTGTTTAAAAATAGTTAATTTTCTATCATTTGATTTTTAAAAATATGATTCGTTTATAATAATAAAATAACACAATCAAATAAAACGTACAAATTACTTATTTACTTAAGTTTTCTGTGAAATGAATTACACTTTTTTGGTCTTACAAACGATTAGGCCACAAATTGCTCTCAAAAAATAGCTGATTGCATTGGGAAGAGGTCCAAAATGGAAACTAAAAGCGCGGGTAAACGAGGGAAGCGCACATCTTTAACCTACACACATTTTACGATACTACATATCAACTAGCATCATATAATTATTAACTACAGTCGATTCACATTATTTATTCTTTAAGCCCATTGCACGTTTGGTGGCGCGTCCAAGGAAGATGCCCGTCAGAAAGACCAAGCCCGTGGCGCTCATTAATATCACAAGGAAGAACTTTCGTGCCGGCGACGTAACCACCTGTTGCACCAGCTGTTGCATGTCCTCCGGTGGCTGGGCTAGCGCATCGTCCGCATTGCGAAACATTTCGATGCGCCTTTCAAGCTTCTCACGACAATC